TTTTGTTACTGGGGATCAAACTTGGGTCCCTGCACTTGCAAGGCAGGCCACTGAACCACTGAGCTAAATCCCCAGCCCTGGACAGCACTTTTAATAGCAACAAAAATACCCATTCAGTATATAAAAAACAAAATTGTGATTTGAAAAGCATTATACATAATTTCAGCTGTCAGAATGGAGAAATATTTTGATAAACTAATAAATAGTATTTGCTTATAAAAATGAGGGATAAGGCCAGCATATAGCTCAGTGATAGAACTGTATTCATTGTACACATGATGCTCTGGGCTCAATCCCCAGCACCTCAAAAAAATTAACCTTTTTTTCCCCCCTGGTACCAGGGATGGTGTTGTACTTGCAAGGCAGGCATAGTGCCATTGAGCTATATCCCTGGTGCACCTTAAAAAATTAGGGAAAAGAACAACTTTGAAAAAAATGTATAGGGACCAAAGAAAGATCATGTTTTTACATACATGCTATTTGATTTTCTGAAAACAATAAATAAAATGGATTAAAGTGATATTGTTAAGTGATTTTTCTCACATATATGGCTAGATAAAATTACCTCCTCTAAAAAGCCTCTTTAGTAGTGTATTTAAAAGCAGTTTAATGGTGACTTTTCTCCTTTTTTAGATTGGCCTGGATCCTGCTAGCTGATTAACTTTGGAGTTATTAGTGATATACACTGGTGGGGTGATCTGTTCTTCACAAGCTACTTACGGCAGAGTTGGGCTGCTATATACAGTGTACAATGTGTAATTTTTCTATACCTATCTTTTTAAAAAACATATATAGAAACTTAGGCACTTTGCTGTTTCTTTTCTTGACTACCAAATCTGTAGTGATTTTAAAAGCCCAGTATTTATTCATTTGTCAATATTTTTCCAATTGATTTTCTATGTAGAATTAATTATAAAACTTGAAGATTTCTAGACATAACCAATTTAGAAATAACATATTACTTCAAACTAGCTTCTGGCAACACTGACCTCTATGAGGTATTTACTGTGCAATAACTGATTCATTTTTGAGAGCTTGAAGCAACCAATGATTTTCCTTCCACTGCTGTTAATTAGTGTCACTTCCAAGAAGATAAACTGTTGTGTTGTAAAAATTGCTCATAATTCTTGAGGAAGCTACTAATAGCAGTAGTATAGAATTACATGAGGTTACCTACAACTACTTAATGTTCTTACACTGTAAGCCCTGTTGCTTTATTCAAAACAAATGTAATTTTATTACAGCTTACTTAGTATTTTTCTTTTGAAGAAGGGGCCTTATGTTAAACACTATATACTTTTTGCGTTGCCCTGTCTTCTTATTTTAAGGAGATATTTCTTCTGTCTTGTAGACTAAATAGTAGAACATTGTCAAAATAATGGGGTCTGTGACTTGAATGGATAGAAATGAATAAGCTTGTTTTGTGTTTTTCAAAGTGGAAGTAATTTAGATTTGTTCTCCTTATACATAAATGATTTTAATTCAGTTTTAACCAGTGAAAATTGTGGTTATTTTATGAAAGAGAGAGTAAATGGTTTCCTCTTTGGTTTTATATGTGCTGAATAAATGTGTAAAGTAACAACAACATCATGTTGGAATTTTTCTTTAAGCGTTTATAATTTTAAATTTCTTTTATGTTTCTTTGTGTGTGAAATTTTAATCAAAAGTGGTTGAGATGTTAACACTGTTTTTTGAAAGAATATCTCAAAGGTTTATAAATGTTTGAAATGTCACACAAAGGCTGATTTCTAAAAAAATTAAAACAATAAAGTATTTATTTTGCCTATGATGTTGTTGATGATTTTTTTTTCTTAAACTTGAAAAATTCGGATTAGATTTGAAGAGTAACAAATAAAGCCTGAAGGAATTGCAGCACACAACCTAGTAGGTCGGTATTTTCTTTTCCTATGGAAACTTCTGCGATACTTGCAATGAATGCAGTTCATTGTTCACCTTGGAGAAGGCCTCTTGGGCTCATCTAGTTCTGTAATGATTCCCACCTGAAGTCAAATAGAACTTTTGTTTAAAGGGTTCTATAAAGAATAGATTAAAATAGGCTTTACTCTAGTTAAATTATTCAACAGTTTCACTGATCCATTCTAATAGTGATAAACATATAAACCAAATACCCCATATTAACAGTGATACAAGCATTGATGCTTAACAGCTATTCAGTTTTTTAGCCACTTTATGTTCCTTTCTAACAGTACAAGATTCCCAGAATTTGATGATCAAAATCAGACATAGAACAGTTGTGATAAGAAGGGCAAGTCACTTAGAGTATACAAATAAAATGAGCCTCCGTGCTGTTGAGTTTCATCTTCCCTCTTCTCATTTTAAACCTTGGTGTGCTTAGTAAACATTTGAAAGCTGTTATGTTCACACCACCATGCCATGACGAATGGATAAAACTAGATGGAAAAACAACATCTTTGAGTTTTGGGGTAAGCTTAGATCAAATTTTAAAAAGAATGTGAGAGTATACCATGGGGTAGTCAGAGAAGTTCTTATAGGAACTGTGGGTTGAAAAAAATTTTAAAGATCAGAAAGTAGAATGTGTTTTAACTAATAATAATGTACATGACAAAAGAAAACAATGTTTTAAAAGATGCAAGTTTTCTCCTTCCTACAGCTGGTACTTTTTACTCATATTGGACAATTTATTGAATGCCAGCGTGCTCAGTAGTAAGTTAGAATCTTGCTTAAATGTAAAGGTGTAAATCAGACAAATATGGTCCACTTTCCTCATTTGGATACCCCCAGAGGAGACTAAATTGTTAGTGAACAGAGAGCTTATTGCTCACTCTGGTAGGTAATAGTGTCTACTTTATGGAATTGTTGATATGAAGAGATCCATATAGCTCAGCTTGGTTGTGAGGCTCCTCTTGGCAATGGTGACAGACAGATGAGCCTGGCAAGTTGAGCACTAGATGTAAAGGACAGAATGTGAATACAGCTCTAGACCTGAATTCATCTTTATTAATGCTTTTCTAGCCATAAAAGCAGGGAAAGGTGAAAGGCCCCCAATTCTGCTACCGTATAAAGACAATTTCTTGGTTTCAAATTTTCTTCAGAACAAAAATTGCTCATTGGGGCCGGGGATTTAGCTCAGCGGTTCTGTGGCCTGTCTTGCAAGCGATAAAAAAAAACCAAAAAAGCAGAATAGCACTTCTCATACTTTATATCCCCACTTATGGAAAGATTCTGATTGAGCAGGTCTGAGTCCTTTCTGGATCGAAATTTCTTCACTTCTAGAGGCTTTCAGGTAGGTTTGATGGGGCTCGTCCATGAGGACTTCAGTAGCAAAGATTTAAATAGGTCTTACTACTTTCCTGCCAGATGCTTCAAATGGGGCAAATGTATTGAATTGCTATAATCTGCAAAGGAGTCTAAGCTGAGGGGAGCACCTTCAACAGAACTTAAAAGTCCAAGTTCAAACTGAAGAGCAAATGCATGCACAGCAGGCAGGGAGACCACAACCTGTAACTGTGGTGGTTACAGGGGAGAGTTAACTTGATTGGCTTTGGGATCTGCCCTGGGGATTGGTGCAACACATTGCTGGATGTGTCTGCAAGACTACTGAAGGCATGGCTGTGGATCACTGGTCTCTCGCCCTTTCCTGTCTGGCACTGTTTCCCTGCTCTGGTTCCTGGCCTCCGTGAAGTAAGCAGCTTTACTCCACACCCTTCTGACATGAGATTTCCGCCTTGGAGCCAGGAACCATGGACTAAATCCTTTGAGAATGTGAGCCAAATCAAACTGGGTGTGGAGTACTGTGTCCAACAATGGGAACGTGACTAATACAAGGACACACCTAAGGCAACAGAAATGCACAGTGGTTAAGAGGCCTGTGTGTGGCGGCGATGATAATAACCGCAGAAACGACTGTTTTGCTGTGGTATAGTAGTTTGTAGAAGTGCTTATCCAATGGGAACTGAACATTGAGAAAACACAAGAGTGCTTTTAGATCCAACCTATTAACAAAACAGACCCGAAAAGGAAAGAATTAATTTTAAAAAGGCTGCATAAAGAGAGAAATTCTCGGAGGTGGAATTTGTTTTCAGTCACTGATATGTGAAGGAGCTTCACACTTCTTTAGGGAAGGGACTGATGATTAAAAACAAGTACACCTGTGTCAAACACTGTACTTTGTTATTCCTGTTCTTGAGTTGTTTAGTAAATCTATGTTCAGATGATTCATGGTTTTGTTTCAGGACATCTCAAATAATTCCTCTTATTATTTATGTAGTCTCGAATTTAAAAAATCCCTTGCAATGTCTTGTAAGCAGACGTCATCTGAGGAATTGATTTACAAACATTTGTCACAAACCTGTGTCTGGACAGAGATAACTTCACAGAATTAATAGGATTAAGTCAAAGTTGTGAATGTCTATTTATATTTGGTTAGAAAGTATTGAATGGTTATTAACATATTAAGACATGCCAAATAGAGACCCTCAAGTAGAAATAATACATTTACTTAGTTCTCACTATCATATGTGAGGACACATAGGATTGCACTAATAATGATACATGTTTTTATTTTTTAATCACATGCAAAGTCATGGCCGTCTCTGAAAATCTCATCTACTCATATTGAGTGTGTCTCAAGAAACATTCATGTTTTCACAACAGTCACTATAGAGTGTTCCAAGTGCTTTTAACTTTTCTTGCTGTGTACTGAGGGCACTGGTGTGCTCCTGCTCTTTACTGGGGTCATCAGTTGGAGAAGTTATGATGCTGTATAGAAGAGGAGAGCCCGTCCCTGTCTATCTGCTAAATACCTTGACAACAAAGCAGTACTACTCATAGCCCAGCTCTCTCATGAAATCTTGCTCATTTCTGCTTCCAGTCCCACGTCCTCGGTCTTGGTCATGGGTGAAAAGCACTGGGGATAGCATTTTGCTGTTCTTCCCACCCCTGTTCTCTGAGTGCTTGCAACTGAACATCTCCATTCAGATCACCTCATTTGACTCTCCTTGGCTGAATCTTACTATCGGCAGCATAGACACAACCTGGTCCCCTCCTAGCTTTAGGAACAGATAAGCATTTTAAAGACAAATACTGAGCTTTCCTCTTTTTGTTATTTTTTTCTCTTCTGAAATATCACAATTAGATTCATTCAACCAACATTTAATTAAAAATGTTGAGTAAAAGGAACGTTAATTTTTCATGATCTCATTTTTCCATTTGCTAATTTACCAATTTTACTAGCATTTAATTATTTCAGAATTCACAAAAGTAATTTTTATTTTGTTATTATTCATGACGAATGTTCATGGTTATTTTTCAATTATTGTGTAAGGAGCCCAAGGCAGAATGCAAATAACATCGCATTTTATTAGATATTATCCTAAACCATTTTTAGACATAATAATCCCTAGAAGAGTCTTTGTTTGGTCCATTGTATTTGTAATGCCTGCAATAAAAACACATGAATGAAATAGCCCACAACTTTTTGGCTTCTGGAATATACATTTTGACAAATTATTTGTGGAGGGGCACAAGAGCACTGAAGGAAAAAATACTTTTTAGATATTGCATGGATAACAATACAAAGATGTGATTATCATTCATGATTTGCAGAACATTTTTCCCAAACAGACTTAACCTCCCACAGGTTTAGGAATTGAATCTGACAGTCCATTTACAATTGGTTAACTAATGGATTAGCTGCATTAAAGCAAAATAGACTTCTAACCTCATTTCTTTAAAATACTTTTCAGTTAATAAAATGTAAGGGGCAAAAGGGGAGAGCCAGTGTTTGTATGTGCACATATATGTACATGTGTGAACGTATGTGCAGATGCATGGGGATGTCATTTTTATTCAGTTTCATGATTTTAATACTGGAAAAATCTTTTGTAATGTGGCCTATACAAAATATGATCTTTTGAGATCTAAGTGGGTGGGTCATGGGTTTTTAAAAGTTGAGGAAACTGTCTAACAAGTTAATCTAATTTATAACACTATGATCTTCAAATTAAATGGTTTGACTTAATATCAATGGAAAAACATTACAAATAAAATATATTCTATCCAGGACACATTATAATCATTTAATCTTGAGAGGTTCTGCTATTTGGGATATTAAAATTCTACTTGATGCATCATAGCCAAATAATTTTCAACTTGATGTAAGTCTGAAAGATATGCAATCTAAAGTTGAATAAATATTATTTGATAGATATCACAAATAATTCTAACCATAATTTTTAAAGGCATCACTATGGAACAGGCAGCATCTCCTCACTAAAAAAAAAGAGTGCATAGCTCTGGTCAGGAGATTACTAAGGGAGTACATTAGTGTGCTTTCCTACTTGTGGGACAAAATACCTAACACTAACAATTTAAAGAAGAAGATATTTGTTTAGCTTACAGTTTCCAGTGGGTTTAGTCCATGGTTAGCTTGCTGCAAGGCAAAACCAGCATGACAGAAAGTAATGGTGGAGAGTCATTGTTCAGGATAACAGACAAGAATATATCCTTCTCAGGTAACACCCTCCCTCCATTGACCCACCCTTTCCATCCAGGACCCGTCTTCTAGCAGCACACAAACTACTGGAGTCATCAATAAGTGAGTTCATTCGTCCAATTGCTTCCAAACATTAGAATTTTTGGAGACATTTTAGATCTAAACCATACAGGGAGTAATATGTAACCGTGAATTGTATATCTATCTCAG